GTTTTCACCAATTTTCTATACACAGATTTGCCATGCTATATTTGGAGTATTTATTATATCCAATGTTTGGAAAACAAAAGTTGATATTTTTACCTGAAACTTGAAAACTATGGGGAAACTCAATTGAAGTTACTCATGTGTTGCTTGTGAATATGAAACTTACCAATATCATGCCATTAGTTATCTCACTATCTGAAAGACAGAGATGCATTCCTCATATTTCCATACATTATTAAGCCCGTTTTATGGGGAAAATTCTTTCTTACTTGCTATTCATCGATTTTTTAACACTTGATGCACCCTGCACTTGATTAGAATTCTATTTTCTGCCTATTGCATCAAATGTGCCCTACTTTATGTAAACTAAGTCATGGACTTTAGGCCATATAACTTCACATACCATGCTGTGCAAAAACAGGGACCTGATATAGTCATTAGTCAACCAAAGGAGTGTTTGGATAATATGGGAGAGTGGTGTCAAGAACATCATGGAGCAAGTGGTAAGCCGCTTGACCGATTCCTGTATATATATTTGTAATTTGTAATATGTATCCCCCACTAAGGATACCTCTACCCCATCCCCCACTCCCCCCAAAAAGTCATATTTGGACAATATATGCCCTCCAAATTTAACAAGGTTAATCTTTAATTTCATTATATGCTGCCTATATTTTATTATTTATTGTCCCAAGTTTATCATATTTTACTAGTTTGTAACTCTTTTGGGAAAATAGTATGAAATGTAGCTTTGTTTGATCAAATAGGACTCTTTTTGGCTCAAAAAGCTTTTGAAGCACGACTCTTTTTGGGGGGATGGAGTATTTGTTTTCAACATCCTCTATTTTCCCAACTCCCAACTTTCATATTTTGGAGTGTTCGTGAGGCATGTAAGCCTGGAGGATGTTATGCAACTAAGTTGCTTAACCTAATGTAGGTCTGACTGGAAAGGTGCTTGAGAGTACAATATCTATTGAAGAAGCTGAGAAGCAGGTATATTTGGCCTCACCGACTATTGAACTGGCAACTCTGTTGTATCATTTCTGTGACACCAATAACCAAACAAATGGAAACTTTGTTATAAACATGCTATATTGATCATATTTAATTTTTTTCCCTTTACACATATACACACCGCCTGTACTGGTTAATAATTTACTGACTTGTTTTAATCCATAGGTTATTGAGTTTGTGAAGAGAAATATCGGGACAACATACTCACCACTCTTGGCAGGGAATTCAGTTTATGTTGATTTTCTCTTCATGAAGGTATGTGAAAATTTTGTACTATCTGATTTGTACTCATAAAAAATGATGTGATCTAGAAATTTTATACAGATATAAGGTTCTAGATGAAATCGCAGTTTAAGCTTAAAGCAGGATGTATCTAATTTTTTTTTCTTTTTTTATTTGGATGGCAGAAGTACATGCCGGACCTGGCTAATCTTTTCTCACATGTACTCGTTGACGTGAGCAGTGTCAAGGCATTATGCCTCCGTTGGTACCCCAGAGGTGAATTCCTATCATTCTTAACCAGACTTATCAAATGGACGAATTGGATAAAATTTTATTCAGACCATTATCGGTGGATTAAAACAAAAATCCACCAATGCATTTGTTATCTATTGAAGATTTATTATACAGTCCCACCATCCACAATCCATTTGACAAAATCCACCCACTCCATCTATTAACCATTTTTCAACTCATGGATTTCCAACCCATCCATTTACTTATTATTTTTCATAGGTAGAGATCATTGAGCAATGCACGTAGTGATGCTTGAACAAAGCTATACTTTGATTTTTGGTTCAATAAACCCAGTGCCTAGTCAAATCCAAAACATGATAAAAGCCACAAACGACTGCATAACTGAATAAATGTGGATAATTTAGTGGGCTTAGAATATTTTTACTCTAATTTAATGTGTATAATACAAATGGATTGATCGGACAATGAATTTTTAAAATTAATAGATTAGTCAATGAATGTACTGTCAAATGGATGGGGTGGATAGTGGATAAATGGATTGTTTTGAAATATCTCTTGTTGACAATTTTACTAGTAGTCGATTTGTTGTTTATGCACTAGTAATTTGATGCTGTCTTGTTTTCCATATAGACAACAAAAGGGCTCCTCGCAAAGAAAACAAACATAGAGCCATGGATGACATAAAAGAGAGCATAGCAGAACTCAAGTACTACAAGGATAACATTTTTAAAGCAACAAGGTTTAAGAAGTAACAATTTGGAAGGTATCTCCTTTTGTGTGTAAAACTGTAAACAGGCAGGCAGTCTCCTTCTTAATATGTTTTGTATTCGTATTTTTGTGTATATTGTGGTACCGACATTTGAAGTATGAACCTTTCTGCATGTCTCAACCATCATGACTGTAAAGTTCTTTGTGGTATGCAATTTTTTTAGTGAACCAAACAATCTTGGCGTGCACTTCATCTTGGCAAATACTGTATAAACAAATTCCATTGCATCGGAACATAGGAGCCCAGAAAATGTAGGTAACACCAGGGGGCCAATACAATTAAGATTATTAGTTTTATTTTAGTGGCCCAGTAGTACAAATAAATTTGTACACACTTCTAGGCTTCCCACGGCCAACATACTAATTATTACGGAGTATACATTTGCATTCATAACATAATATAACACAACATTAATAATTAAAAGACAGAAAGTCTTAGCCAAAAGAAAAGTTGTTCTTTCCAAATTCCAAGCACACGGGCTGCATTTTTGCTCAACGCTCTACACGTCGACAAGCCCTGAGAGTCTGAGATGTGTAAGGCATGAACTGAATCAAGCTGAACTAGGCTTGGACCTGGTCCTGGTTCTGGATCGAGATTGGACAGTTCTTGGACTTCTTGCCAAAAAGAGGTCTCGAAGACCCGAACTGTGTCGTGATGGATGAATAATGTATTGATATTTCAATTTTTAGATAGGTTTCTAGGATTTTATGGTACGTTTTCTGCCCAAATTACAAACTAAATTAGCAAAGTTGTTCCTTTACTTAGATTTAATCGTTTATGGTTATTACTAAATTATTATTCGAATACTACACTTTGATTTATTAGTAAATTATGGCCATCTTTTATCTCACTTAGATCAATTTGATGACTAGACTTATATTAAAAAAATTGCTTACCCGTTTATCTTGCCCGTGCTATGCGGGCCTATGCCCCTTCCTGGGGTTACTTCACTTACTTGATGAAGTTTTTACCATAAAAATTTTTTCAAGAGGAAGCTCTGTTATGTACTTATGTCCTTAACTTAGGTTTGGAAGTACCTCTCTACTACTCAAAATAGTACATAATCAATTACATTGCCTCATTTGATAAAATGTTTTACGTTAGTTGTGGACCATATATATTTCGAATTTTTTTATGACATACCCGTAGTGCACTAGTGCGTAGTAATTTTGGGAGAAGTAAAATGGATAAGGAAGGAGATATACTTCTTTTTTTATTATTATTGTTATCCTAATTCTAGGAAAATGTATCACCTTTTAAGGGAGATGTAAGTGCATGCAAGTCTGGAGGCGGGTGGTTGGAAGTACTAAAATTGCCAACTTGGTTCACTTATAACAATTGACTTGGTACATGCATCTTAGTAATCAGGGGCGGAGCCAGAACACTGGGCTAGACTGGGCCAGTACAAAAAATATTTTGAAAAAAAATTTACATGGAATTTTTTACATTAAAAATTTAGACATTTTTTAAATTTGGGTTGGGTGACGGTTGGTCCTCCCCTAGCTACGCCCCTGTTAGTAATACAGAAATCAGGAAGGAGTAGAGGGGAGGAAAAAAAGTTACTTCTCCCGGAGAAGAGAAGCATCTCCTATTTATAGAAGGGGGAGGGGGGTATACAAGTTATTCTCATGGGCCAATAGGGCCAAAATGGGCCTAAGTAGGCCGAGTGGACTGAACCAGGCCCAATAGGGTCTGACTAATTAGGCTCCGTACAGGGGTAATTCCTTGGGCCCGTAAACAGTAGTAGGCCGAAATAATATGCTTCAACACAAGTCCTCCAGTTTCTTGAGTAGTGAGCGTGCGTATACGCTTGAGAAAGTATAATCTTGCATTCTTGCTCGTGTTCTTCCTTTGATTTCCTTGATTTGGTGTCTTCGAATAGTCTTGGGCGCAAGGCATGCATAAGTGAGATGCGAGGTGCATTCCCCGCAACGAGCACAACGGCGTTGAGGAGCCGCTCATGTTGCGTAATGCGGCGGTTGCCATCCCACATAAGGGATCGACGAGCTCGACCGAGAAGTAGACACGACGACGCTGAGGGGCCGATCGTGCTGCATAAAGCGTCGGTCGCCATCCCAGATTAAGGATTGACGAGCCCGGCCGAGGAGTAGACATGATGACGCTGAGGAGCCGCTTGTGCTGCATAATGCGGCGGGTCACCATCCCAGATTAGGGTTCGATGAGTCCGGCCAAGGAGCAAACATGACGGCACTGAGGAGCTGCTCGTGCTACATAATGAGACGGTCGCCCTCCCAGATTAGGGATCGACGATCCTGACCGAGGAGTAGACACGACGGCGCTGAGGAGTCACCCGTGCTGCATAATGCGGCAGTTGCCATCCCATATTAGGGATCGACGAGCCCAGTCGAGGAGTAGACACGACGGCACTGAGGAGCCGCTCGTGTTGCATAATGCGGCACTCATCCATACTTATGGCTGAAATGACAACTCACCTTCAACCCACGGTTTTGATTCCCGATTCGATTCAATCCACATGGTGGGGCTAAGGTGAGAATTTTTACAACAGTTTCGATTTCAGGTTTTTCTGGTACGGGTTGTCCATATTTATGGTCAATTTGGACAATCATCTCCTAAACCACAGTTTCGATACAACCGTTCGGCACAGCCGAACAATTCGTCCATACTTATGGCTGAGATGATGACTCACCTCTAACTCACAGTTCCTTCTCTCTCTGGGTTTTCCATACTATTCTTATTCTTTTTTTTTCAGTGCATGCCAAGATTGTTTGGTTCACTAAAAAAATTGCATACCATAAAGAACATTACACAGTCATGATGGTGGAGACATGCAGAAAGGTTCATACTACAAATGTCAGTACCACAATATACACAAAAATACGAATACAAAACATTTTAAGGAGACTGCCCGCCTGTCATCCATAGCTTCCAAATTGTTACTTCTTAAACCTTGTTGCTTTAAAAATGTTATCCTTGTAGAACTTGAGTTCTGCTATGCTCTCCTTTATAACAAATATACCTGCTTCTCAGCTTCTTCAATAGATATTGTACTCTCAAGCACCTTTCCAGTCAGACCTACATTAGGTTGAGCAACTTAGTTGCATAACATCCCCCAGGCTTACATGCCTCACGAACACTCCAAAATATGAAAGCTGGGACTTGGGAAAATAGAGGATGTTTAAAACAAATACTCCACCCCCCCAAAAAGAGTCGTGCTTCAAAAGCTTTTTGAGCCAATTAGAGTCCTATTTGATCAAACAAAGCTACATTTCATACTATTTTCCCAAAAGAGTTACAAACTAGTAAAATATGATAAACTTGGGACAATAAATAATAAAATATAGGCAGCATATAATGAAATTAAAGATTAACCTTGTTAAATTTGGAGGGCATATATTGTCCAAATATGACTTTTTGGGGGAGTGGGGGATGGGGTAGAGGTATCCTTAGTGGGGGATACATATTACAAATTACAAATATATATATACAGGAATCGGTCAAGATGCTTACCACTTGCTCCATGATGTTCTTGACACCACTCTCCCATATTATCCAAACACTCCTTTGGTTGACTAATGACTATATCAGGTCCCTGTTTTTGCACAGCATGGTATGTGAAGCTTTATGGCCTAAAGTCCATGACTTAGTTTACATAAAGTAGGGCACATTTGATGCAACAGAAAATGGTATTCTAATCAAGTGCAGGGTGCATCAAGTGTTAAAAAAATAGATGAATAGTAAGTAAGAAAGATTTTTCCCCTTAAAATGGGGTTAATAATGTATGAAAATATGAGGAATGCATCTGTCTTTCAGATAGTGAGATAACTAATGGCATGATATTGGTAAGTTTCATATTCACAGCAACACATGAGTAACTTCAATTGAGTTTCCCCATAGCTTTCAAGTTTCAAGAACAAATATCAACTATTGTTTTCCAAACTTTGCATATAATAAATACTTCAAATATAGCATGGCAAAGCTGTGTATAGAAAATGGGTGAAAACGTGAAGAGAAAATATCATAAATTACCTCAACTAATTTGGTCAAGCTTCCATCAGTGATCACACAAGCAATCTCCAATATAGTATCTACCTCAACATTCAAACCTACACGGGCAGCAGTAATCATGAATAAGGACGCCAGGTGTAGGTAACCATTACCCGTCATTTCTAGATCAATCCATACAAGTGACAACCTACAGCGGGAAAATGATGTACTACGATCCCAGGTGCAATCGGCGGTCTCCATAGCTTCAAATTCAAGAAACAATCAAAGGAGTAAAGCCAAGACTGCCGCTACTAGGTTGGACCTAGGCTTCACCCCAGCTGCAACGGAACCACCAGCCACCATGATGGATCCCGTCTCTCTCACGCTAGGTTTGTCGTCAACCGGCGACTATCAATCCATGGTCATCTCGCAAGTCATACCCTATGTGCCTCTTATTCCGGAGACGACTCCAGTCCCAAATATCCCGATGTGCTTCTTTCCAGATTCATTGCGAACTTGGCCAATGACAGCATGTCTGCATTCAATCAATCAAAGGATGCCAAGATCAACTGCCGCCTCAGCTCCGACGGAACCTCCCGTCCCTCATTCGGGGGCCGACACGTCTGGAGAACCAGGACCGTCAAATCGATTTGTTCCCCTTCCAAATCCTAGACGGAATTTGTTCCACAACCTGTTTGCAGAACCTCAAAGGCGACGAGTTCCAGAACTTGTCGACATCTCTAGGCAGAGGCAGCAGGAACCTAAAGTCATCGTCGCCCTATCACCCACTGGACATGAGACGGCCCAAGTGGTTACACCACATGCCCTGACCATGAGACAAGCACAGGCGGATCTAACGGACCCCATGTCCGTCATCTTAGAACATCTGAAGGAGTTGCGAGATAAAATCAACGGCATTCCTGGAGTACCGTCACCATTTGGTATTGCTTTGAAGACGTGTTACGCAGACTCTCCCTTTGGACAATATATCAGTGACGTCGAGTTCCCACGGAAGTTCGTTGCCCCTTCAATGAAATTGTTCGATGGAACTCCCGATCCTTTGGAACACATTGCACAATACAAGCAGTAACTGTTGACCATTTGAGTCAGGCCTGAGCAACAGGAAGCCCGCATATTTAGAGCATTCGGGACGACATTAACAGGACCAACGTTGACATAGTTCGTCAATTTGCCCAACGAAGAAATCAACTCATTCGCAGAACTCATTAACCTGTTCAACCAACAATTTGCAAGTAGTAGAGTCCTTGAAAAACATACCAGTGACCTTTACCGAGTAATCCAACGACGGGGTGAATCTTTGAGAAATTATTTGCACCGATTCAATAAGGAAAAGGTGTCGATCCCAAAATGTGACGTCTCTACCATCATTGAAGCATTCAGAAGAGGTTTGTATCAAGATTCGGAGTTGTACCACGAACTTATGAAATACCTTTTTCGGTCCTTTGAAGATTTCCAAGCAAAGACGTTGGCTTTCATCCGTCTATAAGAGGACTTACAATCCCATCAAAGATAAATTGAGCACGAAGAGGGGCACGGGAAATCAGAATCTCTTAGGAGTCATGATTACAAGCATGGAAAACCATATTCAAGACCTGAGGAACGAGTCGTCACTTCTGTGACGAGATAGATCAGACAACATGATCGAAGTGGTCGGGTGGGGGGACATGTCGTCCAATGATAGACAAGTTCTGAAGAGGTGCAATACGGTACCCTTAAAGTTGTTTCATTTTTAGCTTAATATTTTCTTTTACACAGTGTTGTCACTCCTGTGACGAGATAAACCAAATGACATGACTGAAATTGTCGGACAAGGGGGCATGTCGTCTGACAATAGACAGGTTATGATGATAAATATTTCTCTAGTTTTGTATACATACTTTTAATTTATTGCTTTCATTTATCTATAAACGATCACTAACTTAAGCATCGGAGGGCCGTTGGCTTCTAGCCAATGGCCGACGTTAGCGAATTCTTTTTTACACAGGTACAATCAACAATTGACGATGATGGAATCCTAACATACAAAGCCTTACAACACATCAAAACACAATTGAGGACTTGTGATCCCGTCGAAGACAAATTGAGCACGAAGGGGCACAGGAAATCAGAATCTCTCAGGAGTCATGATTACAAGCATGGAAAATCATATTCGAGACCTGAGGAATGAGTCATCACTTCTGTGACGAGATAGATCAGACAACATGATCGAAGTGGTCGGGTGGGGGGGCATGTCGTCCAATGATAGACAAGTTCTGAAGAGGTGCAATACGGTACCCTTAAAGTTGTTTCATTTTTAGCTTAATATTTTCTTTTACATAGTGTTGTCACTCCTGTGACGATATAAACCAGACGACATGACTGAAATCGTCGGACAAGGGGACATGTAGTCTGACAATAGACATGTTATAATGATAAATATTTCTCTAGTTTCGTATACATACTTTTAATTTATTACTTTCATTTATCTATAAACGATCACTAACTTAAGCATCGGAGGGCCGTTGGCTTCTAGCCAATGGCCGACGTTAGCGAATTCTTTTTTACATAGGTACAATCAACAATTGACGATGACGGAATCTTAACATACAAAGCCTTACAACACATCAAAACACAATTGAGGACTTATGATCCCGTTGAAGACAAATTGAGCACGAAGGGGCACGAGAAATTAGAATCTCTCGGGAGTCAGAATTACAAGCATGGAAAACCATATTCGAGACCTGAGGAACGAGTCGTCAAATCTGTGACGAGATAGATCAGACAACATGATCGAAGTCGTCGGGCGGGGGGGGGGGGGGGCATGTTGTCCGATGATAGACAAGTTCTAAAGAGGTGCAATACAGTACCCTTAAAGTTGTTTCATTTTTAGCTTAATATTTTCTTTTACATAGTGTTGTCACTTCTGTGACGAGATAATCCAGACGACATGACTGAAATCGTCGGACAAGGGGGCATGTCTTCTGATAATAGACAGGTTATAATGATAGATATTTCTCTAGTTTTGTAAACATACTTTTAATTTATTACTTTCATTTATCTATAAACGATCACTAACTTAAAAAGAGTGTCTATCAGTATAGCTTTGTTCAAGCATCATTACGTGCATTGCTCAATGATCTCTACCTATGAAAAAAAATAAGTAAATGGATGGGTTGGAAATCCATGAGTTGAAAAATGGTTAATAGCTGGAGTGGATGGATTTTGTCAAATGAATTGTGGATGGTGGGACTGTATAATAAATCTTCAATAGATAACATATGCATTGGTGGATTTTTGTTTTAATCCACCGATAATGGTCTGAATAAAATTTTATCCAATTCATCCATTTGATAAGTCTGGTTAAGAATGATAAAAATTCACCTCTGGGGTACCAACGGAGGCATAATGCCTTGACACTGCTCACGTCAACAAGTACATGTGAGAAGAGATTAGCCAGGTCCGGCATGTACTTCTGCCATCCAAATAAAAAAAGAAAAAAGAAAATTAGATACATCCTGCTTCAAGCTTAAACTGCGATTTCATCTAGAACCTTATATCTGTATAAAATTTCTAGATAATATCATTTTTAATGAGTACAAATCAGATAGTACAAAATTTTCACATACCCGCCCGCCGTCCGGCAATTCCCCGGCCAGCATCTCCGCACTCAGCGGTGAAACTAGGCTCCGTCTTTTGTGACGACCCGTCTGGCTTTTGAGCACCTTCTGGAAATCGCCAGATAGTTGGCACCTTATGTATTTTTCTTTCAGTTTTACTTTCAGACTTTTAGTTTTGCTCTGTTTTGTTGGTTTTGGACTTTTTAGTTCAGACTCTAGGTTGTTTCTTGTTTGGACTCCTGTTTGGGGCATCCGATTTGTGGATGTTCCGTGGTGCAATTTTTTAGTCGGGGAAACTGATTCTGATTCTGTTCTTTTTTAAAGAAGAGGCAGAATCAGAATCAGTTTTCAGAAGCTGGTCATCCCCAGCTTCTAAAAAAAATGATTCTAGGAGTAAATTAGAGCACCAGAATCACTTCTGCATTTTTACCCAAATACTTCAACTTCTGCTTCTGCTCCTTCAGGGAGCAGAAGCAGTTTTAAAATCCGATTTGTCCATTGACTGGTTAGCAAATTATTGCTTTTGTAACACATAATTCTATGTCTAATCCTATGGTTGATGACCAAAATGAGAGTGTCAGTCTTCTTGGCTTCTTGCTGCTCTTCGAGTTTCTAATACTCCCTCCATAACTAAAAAATCTTTCCACTTTCCTTTTTCATCTGTAACGAAAAAATCTTCCCATTTCTATATCTTTTCATCATACCCTAAATAATTTTAAAAATAATACACTATTACAACTACTTTTTTTGGGATTTGTTCTTCATTCTATCACATTATTCCACTATCTTCTCATCATACCTTCACTAATTTATATCATGTTTCACTATTCTTAATCTACCTACTTTTGAAATGGAGAGATTTTAAAGTTACCGATGGAGTATTATAATATATAAGCCTTTTTTCTTTTTAAAGAGTGATTTCAAACTAAAGAATGAAAGTAAATGTTGATGTGGTATATAAGTTACTTTTTTTGGCAAAAGATAACTTAATTCATATTAAAGAAAATGTTTAGATACAAAGCCGTCAAACTAAAGGCTACATCGGGATGAGACATAGAATTGAATGATCGCTTAGTGGTGAACCAACTCACTAGCCCCACAATTTGGTAGACTCCACCAATAGTAATGTGGCACCTGCTACTAGAATGATAAAAAGAAATAACTGAAAAGTTATGAGAAAAAAGACAATAACAATAGAGACAAGTTCCAGATTTTCTAGCCACTGGGAAGGTAATTGCGGTTTGACTAACCACCATTACAAGAAAAGATTCAACCACCACCTCTTCACTACTCGAAGTTTTTCCTCTTGTTTGACCATCAAACTCTTCTTATCTCCAAGGGTTTCATCAAATATGACAGGCGGTGCCGTCCCACTGGGCATCACAGCATGTCCATTCTTTGGATCGCCCTCATAAACCTCATTACTTGCGTGAGTATCCCCTCCAATATCTGACTCTATCACTCTGCTCTTCCAGGCCTCTTCCTCCTAGAAATCAGCTATGTCTTCACCTCCAGCTAGAGAGCAGTCCTTCCACTATATAATTGTTTATCTCCTCAATGCTCGTGTTGCTCCTTTCCAAAATATTCTCAATCTCCTCTCGTGAGCTCGTTACGCTTTTGCTAGGGATCAACCACTTATTATCCCGATGCATCCTCCTCTTCTAATATCTGCATGCATCCAAACCCCATATGGATTTTCTCCAATCCAAGGTCCAGAGTTAGTATTAGATGGAGAACAATGATCAACATGTCCTAAAATTCCACAAATGACGCGGAACTTTGATAGACGCTCATACTTGAATTCTGCCCAAAACCGATTATCCACTTCCTTCCTTATGTGTAGTCTGCGAACTAATGCTTTCTTGATATTCATGGCCACCCGGATCCGCAAGATGGATCTCCAAGCACCCCCAGTGTTCGTTCATCAACTGCAATGAACGAACCAATAGTGTTCCCTATACCATGTGCAACTTTCTCTATCATAAAACCTAGAGGTAGGTAATGGACTCGAAGCCACAAATCAACACAGTCTAGCGCCAACTCAAGTGGTCTGTCAGCCTGCCCTAAACGGCATATGGTCACCAAATTTTGTTTGAATGTCCAAGGTCCGTCTCGAAGTACCCGATTAATATCACCTTCATGGTAGAATTGTAACAGAAATTTTGAAACCCCATATCATCAACTGAAACACCTTTGACGGTCAGAGAGACGACGACCAGCCAGCCTTTCTTTCACGCTCGCTAGCTCATCCTGGTTGCACCGCCTCCATCGATCTACGCTGCCGGGAAGTTTCCGGTTGAAGGAATCCGCCGCTGCTAGGGTTTCTATTTAATATTTGGTATATAAGTTACTTTTTCATCCTTTATACGTAGGATTATACAAAAAGCACGGAATTGTTTTTTTATCAAACTTTTACTTTTTCAAATTTACTTTTTTTCTAATGCTATCTTTTTACTCGTAACCGCTTTTCATATCTATAGTTTTATATAGTAAAACAGAGTTATGAATCGCTCATATGTCACTCTATTATTGGTTAACATTATCACTCTTTAAAAAATTGAATCAATTCTAACTGATAAATATTTTAGCTTCCAATCTTATCCAAAATTCAATCGTTTTAATGCCATTATTAGAGAGCAATACGGTTATACGGCTAATCATAACAGCACATTCAGAATTATATACTATGGTCTACGTATATACGGCTATTTTCTCAATATCACATAGGACCCCAATTTGGATATATACATCTATCATTATATAAAAGCAAAATCTTTTTAGTACTATTTTTTGAACAGTGTTCCCGCCCATGAAAAGATGCATAGCTGGAAATTACAAAAATGGCCTCATGCAGGGTAAAATTGCCCAACATGAATTAATTATGGGATTTGAACAGTTGAGCCGTAAATTACAGGATTGAACAGTTCCAAATTGACAAAATATCTCTGCAAAAGTACTGTTTGTTGATGGAAAAGGCCTCTTCCTTGCTTTCTGGTTGGGTATTATGAATAAAGCTAGGGAAATTGAGTAGTTTACATCATCTACAGTAAAGTTAAACAGTAAAAAGTAGTAAATGGTGTTTAATATCAAGGCATCTTCAAAACTTCAGTACAGAGTTGTATAAAAAGCAGCATACATCAAATCTGGCCAGTCTGTCTTGGAGCATGCGTACATGTTCTTGGGAAAAAATCAGCCCACAACTTTGGCCAATCTGTCCTTGAGAAACATGATACTCCGTTACTTCTTTGGGAAGGATCGTCCATGTTTTCCTATAAATACTAACCTCATTTCAAGTGAACACCACCCAATCCTTCTGCGTCTTTTCTTTCACTTGAGGTTTTGAGCCTACAAGCAAGAATATCATCCATATATACGTGTGTGAATATAAGCAAACTTGAGCAACTGAAAGGACAAAAGCAAATGGGAATTCAACTCCAGAGGACAAAAGGACAATTGAAAGGTCTAGACTTCCTACAATTTCTTGATGACTACGGAGTATCTTACAAAGAATCAGGCACCAACAAAGCAATGGGTCTCTCCACTTCCAATCCCTAATGATCTTTTCCTTAACTGGTCTTTTTATCTGAACTAACTCGATGAAAGAAATTTATTTCAGCTACGTAAACAACCAAAATTTTGATAAAAGATCATCAACATTAAACAAAAAACGGAGTTATCTATGTTTTGATTTATTCATGCATTCTATGTTTTTGTAATTCTAGTCATTACTAATTAGACACACACAATGATACATACACACATACATAAATAAACACACACAGTGATCATTCAAAATATATTTTAAGAATATTAAAGGTTGACTTGGTTGAGGAAATGGATGGAAGTAAATATTACTCTCAGTTTTGATAGCATGGCAGTTTAGATTTTACATTTTAGGAAACCAATAGGAAACAATAAGCACAATCATATATATGCTGGACAGGTTGTAGATCATATCAGAATTTCAAAATCTGCAATTTCAAAATCTAACCATACTATAAAACATTGATGTTTTTAATACAACTTCCAAAAATGATTAGGTATGTGCTAACAGTAATTGATTAGGTATTTATTTGCAAAAATGAGACAATTATGTGTATATTGGAAGTGACATTAATATTAATACAGAAGGTAAACATATCCCAATAAAAATTCATTTATATAAGAAGATATGGTAAAGTAAGAAATACGAAAATGAGAGGAGTAAATAAAACTTCCGAGAAAAGTATACAAAATAAAAATAGGGACACTATTATTTATATTATTCTTAGAGTGAATAGTAGAACTTATGATAAGATTAAGGATGTGTTTATCATAATTAGCTAAAAAGATATTTTTGTGAAGTTTTTAGTAACTATTTGTTTTTAATGATTGAAAAGTTTTTCCAAAAAAAATGATGGAAAAGATCTATAAAAAAAGATTATATTTGCTTGATAAAAAGCTATACGTTTGACTTAGTTCCATTTGATATATCAAGTTGTTACTAATTAAAGTTGAAAGATATAGACTTCTTTGAGAAATTACTCAATGTAGTTTCTCAAAAAAAAATCATTTTAAAAAAACTTTAATTATTTTCGTACTAGACATACAACTAGAAATTTTTAGACACTCTTAAATAGTACTACGTATCTAAATGAGAAAGTGAATTTGTGCGTACAAAACATCTACTAAAACGACTAAATATGCAATTTCATAATTTACGAAGGGCCTCTTTAAAACCTCAACATTTAGCTTCCTTTTTAGATTTCAAATGTTAGAATTTCATATATTTTTTAAAAAATAAACATTAATTAGACATGAGCGATTCGTGGTTATCTGAACCTTCAAGGTCTACAAATCACTTGGTTTGAAAATACATATTGAAAGTCAACATGAGAGACCAAGAGAAGAGACCACCAATGTGACCGACCCATAAAGAAGTGTTTGTAACATGTAGTCTTATAACATTGTACGGAGTACAAAATTTGACGAGCATTCTTGCCATACCATTCAACGAGTCCAGTCAAGTTGTTCATTAGTTTGATAATGTCTTGCATTTTCCGTAAAATATGCTAATATATACTTCGTTGGGAATAATGACACGTGCATCGCACGGTGCTATTCTAAAAATGTGCCTTTTGTATACTTTTATAATTATAATAGTGATTTTAATAGCATAGTGGGATTTAGGTCTTTGATAGTTTAGTCAAATGAAAACATTATTTGATAGATGTTTATTTGGAAAATTAGACATTTACGTGTAAAATATGAATGAAACTTTTTATAGCAT